ATCTACCTACCTACTCACCTACCTACCTACCTATCTTATCATCTATTTATCATCAACTATCTTGTGTGTGTTTGTATCTCAGCATGCATTTGCAGGTCAGAGGACAACTAGGGAGTCGGTTCTCTCCTTCTACCACCTTTGGAACCCAGGGATTACACTCAGGTTGTCAGGCTTGGTGGCAAACACCTTTACCCACTGTACCTCCTTATCAGTTTCTTGAGACAGGGTGTTCACTGACCTGGAGCTTGCCAATTACGCTAGGGTTGTTAGCGAGCAAATTCCTTTTATTAGGGAGAAGCCAGTATACCTTAATATCTTTCTATGATCAGTACATTCATGACATAGTAACACCAAGTTCATAAAAAGTACTTAAGATTTAAATTATCATAAAATAATAAACTAAATGTTACATACCTAGATTCTTCATCCAAGACATCTCGATGGACCTCAAGTACAGAGGACTTAACCTGTAGGATCTGTCTACCTTCTGTTCCTGACACATACAGTAACTCTTCAGGTTCTAAGGACAATGTTCTGAAAGTATGTTACAACAGGAAGTTATTTTCTCTAAGACAGGGATACCTTCACTGTCATGAACACATGCAGCATTAGTAACCTTCAGGTGCTTTGTGCAGTGCAGTCTCAGGACTAATAAACTGCTGCCTTATGGGAGAGAACAGAAAAATCAGCAGCTATAATTTAAAACCATCTCTACTTATATCAGCATATGCCAATGGGAAGGCAACTAGAGCTTTGACAGTCAGAAGTTAAGAACATACAAAGTAGGTTAACATGAATAACGTTAATCTTATCAATCAGTTTATCTTCCTGAGGTTTCTGATCCTTCAAATGTCTGGCCACCTACATTCAATCATGAGAAGATAAGTTTTTCCCAGTTTACAAGGAAGTAGATCAAAAGCTTAGGACTTTCAGAATCCGGAGCTTCCTAAATCATTAAAATCTAACCGAACTTTGGCCCAAAGTGTAGGAGTTAAACTGATCAGACCACAGATGCAAGTATCACAACCCACCTGATTCTGTTCTCTAACGCATCTATGTGAAGCTGCTTTTCACTGAGCAGTTTCTTCAGGGATTCCACCTCCCTTTGCTTTTCAAGTAGTTCTCTCTGTAAATGGTAGTTAGTCTCTTCTAAAGTTTCACAGAAAGCCTTTAAAAGGAAACATGCATACAAAGAATAAAATTACAAATTTATGTAGCACCTTCCTCAAAAACATTACTAAAGAGTGAGAATCATGGACATCAAAGTAATATGGATAAAAAACCTGAAACGATCTGTTCTCTACACTTTGAGAACACCGCTATGCTGGCATTCTTTGTTCCCAAGGACCAAGGACAACTGGTAGTTCCCTTTCTTGAGAATAACTACAGACTGAGACTGAAAATGGATAAACAGTTACACATATAGCAATAGATTAAAATCATGTGAGAAAGTGAAGAATACCCTTATACAGCTGTAGATTAAAAACTATAAAAATAGCGAATTTCTATAAAAATACAATTATCAAAACTGCTTTTCACCAAAATAGATAAGCTGAATAAACTATAGTCATGTATTTAAAGAAAATGGAATCAATTATTAAAAACTTGATTAACTAAAGGACGTATCAGTCACGTTAATCTTACAGTCAAGTTCTGAGGAAGACTGAAATAACAAAAATACTAATAGTATTTGAGGAGCTATGGAGAATAGAAAAAGAAAACAATTCTTTAACTTAGAAAACTGGAATAATCTTTTTTAAAAAATATTTTTTAATTTATTATTATTATTTTTATATGTATGAGTGTATTGCCTGCATATAAGTGAGTATACCCATGTCATGCAGTGCCAACAGAGGTCAGAAGATGGTGTTGGAGCCCCTGGAACTGGAGTTACAGACAGTTGTTAGCTGCCATGTAGGTGCTAGGACTTGAACCTGGGTCGTCCACAAGAGCAGTCAGTGTACTTAACCACTGAATCATTTCTCCAGCCCCAGAAAATTGGAATAATCTTAACACAAGTGTCAGTGAGAGACAGAAAGGAAAACAAAATACTCAGGAATTTGAAATGAAATCATTATTATCTAAATTCAATAAAAAAGATGAATTTTTTTCTTTCACAAATAATTTTATCATTTGAAAATCTATGGATATAATTTATACTAAGATTTAAAAAATTTACATGACTATCTTTATAGATGCAAGCAAAACCATTAATGACACACAGACACAGATATATACCCTACAACACAGCAAATTAGAACAGAAGACATCTTCCTTACACTTAAAAAGCACACAGTAACAAGTAAAACACAATCACAACTACCAACAGTTTACAGAAAACACCACACCTAATAACGTAAATTAGGTTATTTCTTTTAAAGTTAGGAAGAAAGGAAAAGGATGCCCACTATAATGGCTTCAATGTATTTTCAAAGATCCTAGCATGTGCAGTAATCCAGGAAACGACAAGAAGATACTATGACTTAGGAAAAACCATACATGTTAGCACTGGGCGTATGGTTAGTTATACAGAAAGTTCAAAAAGATCTATACAGATTCAATAGGGATGTGAAATAAACACAAGAATTAACAATTCAATGGCAATAATTTGAATTATAAAACAATAATTATTAACAAAACAGTAAGACTAAATCTTTTCCTTAGAAGTTCAAGGAAGAAAGAAATCAAACCTTTATTGAAGGATATTCCGAAATAAAATACAATGGAAATTTCAAGGAATTCATGAGTTGATTACAAAAATCACATGGAATAGTTAATAGCCAATTTTGAAGAAAACCATGGACAAAAACCTTTGTTCTGTCAGATACTAAGATTATAAAGCTATCATAACTGATGTTGTATAGAACTGGAAGAAGGATAGAGAGAGATGACTGAGCCAGAACTGACTGGCCACAAACAGTCATGATGAATAATGAAGGTTAGGAAAGTTTCTAAGAAGTGTGTGTGTGGCGGGGGGAGAACATGTTAATAAATGGTGTTGGGATCCAGAAAGCTCAGTCAATTAAAGCACCTGAGGATGAAAAGCAAAGTTTTACCATCAGAAAATAATTTAAGAGACTATCTTTGTGCTCTGAAGTTTTGGGAAATAAACATCACAGAAAATATGACAAAGGATGGGAATGGGACATTGACAGAAAGGAGCTGGGGCACAGTTACCAAGAAAGTCAGTCTAGAATTACAAGGCTAATAACACTTTGGGTGAAAGGCGGTATGAAGCAACATGACAATGCACTGCTGGTAAATGTGTAAACTGATAGAATAAGAATAAATTTTGGGAATAATTCTCCAAATGTAGTAGTGTAGCTGAGGAGGAAACAAATAATAACCAAATAATTTCACTCCTATAATTATACCTTATATAAATCCTTGAGTTTCTTCCAAGATTAAAAATTATCCTATTATCCCAGGAAAGATGTGTATAACAGGAGACTATGTTTTAGAATTATCATTAGAAAAATATCCTGATGGGAACTATTTCACCTATTAATGAGACGTCAAAATGATTTGTATCCCTAGGAAACCATTAAACCACAGCTGTGCCACAAAATGAATTGTAAACGGTGATGCTACCTGTGATACAGTAATTCTTTTGATTGACGTTCATCAGTACTGGAAAATTTACTAGCAAAGGCTTTTAGAAAACATGTTTCAGGAATTGGCTAGGCAGTTAGGGTAAAAAGACACCAAAGAAAAGTAGCTAGCTCCTTGGCTATAAGTCAAAATGTCCTTGGGCCTCTTAGCAACATACTCCGTTCCAAAGGCCAAAAATGTAGAAAGTATTTGGGAGCTCTTATCTAATCCTTAAAAGATTTTAGGGTTACCTCTTCAGAGGGGGGAATGTTAGAGTAGCAAAAAGCCCCATTTAAAAAAAAAAGAAGAAGAAGAAGAAAGAATACAAGAAGTTATCAGAAAAAAGTGGTGGGGAGATATGGGAGGAGTTGGAGGGGAGGGAGCAGGCATAGATTTGATCAAAACATCTTATATGAATGTATGAAATTCTCAATAAATTATTTAAAAAAAAAGAAAACATGTTTCATTACCTAGCGAAGCTCAGTCACATTCTCACTTTCTGCTTTTCTCAAACTTAGGAACAAGAAAATTAAGTTCCTAACCTGTAGATGAATTTAAGTGGGGAAAAGAAGATGAAGGATTTAGGTTTTAATTGTTTGTACTCATAATGCTTCCTTTAACAGGTTGTGGCAAGAGCAGAGGAGGAATAAGATTTACTGGATTGAAGCTTCTGATCTTTTGAATCATTTTAACTTATACTTAAAAAATGTGGGCTGAGTTACTTTGGGTTTTTTTTTTTTTTTTTTAAATAAGAGACTGCTTAAGATGTCTGCAATCCAAAGAGATATAAAATCACTATAGTCACTTTTACTTTGAAAGACAGGAGCCAGCACAGAATTTCTTTAAGTTTCTTATCTAAATAAACATTTATTTTCAAGTAAAGTCATAAGAATATACATCTATTTTAGAGAAAGATTCTAAGAACATTCTGTATTGCTTTGTTGAGTGTATAAGCTCAATATACCTTTGAGGACCTATTTATATAAGTTATTACAACCAAGATTGAGTTTATAATGAGAGGAAATCTGGCAATGAACTGGTTTACTCCCCCTCGTCAAAGAATTGTCAGTCTCAAGTGCTAATAGTGTAGAGTCTCAGAAATCCTAATGCAAACCAACTCCTACTCTTTCCCAACTCAGTTCTAATATTCTATACACATTAACTGGTACGTATTTTGAACTAAGAAGACTTTTTGTGTAAGGGAAAATATAAAAATTAAAAATGTTTAAGAGCTCTTGCAGGAAAAAAAGAATACTATACTTGCAAGTAATCAAAATCATGTGCTTCATGAGCTGAAAAAGTAATGACAACACCAATTATTCTTCAGCATAATATATACACTTAAAATATAGCTTTAACTTTCCAAATACATTTTAGGTCAAAGTAACAAAAGAAGCAAAACTAGTGGCTACATCAGTTACCAAATGGGGAGACAAATTAATCAGTCTACAAGGCAGATTCTGAATCAAGGGTGCTAAAATGCATCTCCTGAAATGTCTACTATTCAGCAAAATCATCAGGACACACATAATTGGGGAAAAACCGTAGTAAACATAAAGTTATCTCTAAAGGATCTAAACAATGCTATACAGAGTATTTTGAAGTAGCTTGAGTATTAGATGTTCTACAAACAAAGTTCTGGAGTTAAATAAAACGACTGAATGAAAAAAATGAGTAAAAGATACTTAACAGCAGATCTGACATGACAAAAATGTGAAGCCATGAACTTGAAAACAGTTCAACAGAAATTATCCAACCTTATGAACAAAGAAATCAATAACTGAATGAAACTAATTGGAGAAAATCAACAACACTTTAGAGACTTGTGCAATAACATGAACTATAGAGGAGATACAGAAAGAAAGGAGATGGACTGAAGAATATTTGAAAAAATAATGGTAAAAAAATCCCCAAATTTGAGGCAAGAATTCACCTACCAATTAATTCCAGGAAGCTCAATGAAGACAAGTATGATAAACACAAAGAGACTTACATGATGATATATCATAATCAGATTGTTAAAAGTCAAAGACAGAGGATCATCAGCATCAGGGCAAATGGACCCACTATGTGCATGGAAATGATGATGAAGATGAAGGCTGACTCTTCATCACAGTCAATGGAGAAGAGAGTAGAACTACTCAGACAAAGGGTTGGAAGAAAACCAACATCAAAAACAATCCTGAAGACTTGCTCTCTTAGTATCAGAGAATACTATAAAAAAGCCAAGGTGGGGGGAGGGGAGAAAACAATCGGTGATTCCAACCAGTTATAAAGTCTACAAACCACAGCAATGACCATCCCAACAAACAATCTCTGTTGGTGCAGTAGTAGCACTTTTATCTTGGGGGTAAATCAACAGCTGTCTAATTGAACTTAAGGCCACTCAATGGGAGGAAACTCATGTATGGTACTGTACACATAGTCAAATACACATAATTGTAGAAGTCATAGATCCTAGAGAAAAATCTACTTCTATCACATCCCTAGACCAACATAATTTCTTACTGTATCCTAAATATGTATCCTTATATTTACAGACAAGTGTACTTCTGACCACTCATCAAAGCTTCTTTTTGCAATAGATAGAGATTATTACAAAGTCCCGCAAATGGTCAAATAAGTGTCTATGAGGTACCCAGCCATAAGTGACACATCTGCAATGCAACCTGTACACCTAAGCTCAAGAAACACAGCTGAACAGGGGGAAGAAAGAATATCAATGCATCTCTCAGCTCTCACCAGCAAAGCTTCCTCAACCAGTAAATGGTGATTAACCCAGAAAGCCATAACTGGCCAAAGTGCAGAGAACAAGAGACTGCAGAGTACTTATCCCTGAATAGGACACCTGCATCAAACCTCTGCCATTCAAGGCTCAGGGGCCATGATAGAATAGGGAGCAGAAAGATTTTAAGAGCCAGAGGTACTGTATGACCACAAGGGAACATTTTTCTAGACAGCTAGGAAGTTGCTTATATGAACTTACAGCAATGGTGACATGTATAAGACCCATGCAAGCTCAAGCCAGATATAATTCCAGCACAGAAATAGGGAAGTGATGGGGCTGGAGAGATGGCTCAGTGGTTAAGAGCACTGCTGCTCTTGCAGAGGGTCCGGGTTCAGTTCCCAGCACCCACACAGCAGCTAACAACTGTTTGAAACTCCAGTTCCAGGGGAATCCAACATCCTCTTCTGACCTCTGCAGGCACTGCATGACCCAGGTGCACTTACGTACATGCAGGTAATACACTCATACACATTAAAAAAAAAAAAAAAAAAAAAAAAAAAAAAGTGGGGAAGTAAGAAGTCCCAACCTTGGCTGAGGAACTAGGGGCAACTGATGACTGATGACTAATGGAGAGGGAGAGTTGGTTTTCTCTAAGGATGTGGCCTAGATAGGCTAACCAGGCTCCAGTGGCCAGATGTACAACAAAGGACATTTGGGAACAAAAACTTGCCTCAAGAGGCCTTAATATATATGACAGAGCACATGTGGTGAGGGGTTATAAGAAGGATGCAGATAGGGGAGAGGGTCAAAATATGATCAAAATGTATTGTATAAAATTTGCAAAAATTCAATAAAAATTATTAAAAAATTTAAACTTAAAAACAGAAGACATATAACCTCCAATGTTTGTGAGGGCATGGAAAATGGAAACTCCTAAACAACCAGTGGAAAAACAATTAGGCAAAATAGCCCATCAATAGTTTATCAATGTCCTTTAAAAGTTAAACATTAGTTGCTTTATTATAAAACAGTTCTTTTCACATGGAACAACTGAAGAGAAAGGAAAGCATGTATCCACACAAAGTGCTTGATGAAACTGTCCACAGCATATTTATGGTGGTACAAAACTGAAAACAACGTAACCATCACTCAGCTGGTAACTAGGGAAATGCAATTTGTTGCAAGCATAAAAAAAAAAAAAATAATGAAGATAAAGGCTATAAAATGAAATTCCTGTAGACATGCTAAGTGAAAGAAGCCTGGTACAAGATTAAAATTTAGTAAACTATATACATGAAAGATTATATATAGTGTACATGAATTACACACATACACACACACACACACACACACACACACACACCACATTATTGTGTGAGCAATATGGAGTAAACAAAAAAGACAAATTTATAGAGCTTGAAAGCAGATTAGTAATGGCCTTGGGAGTACCAGCTGATGGTAAAATAACTTAAAGAAAAAATTTTTGAAGTAACGTGAATATTCTAAAACTGAATTATAGTGATGATGGCACAGCTGTGTATTGATAATGAAATAACAAAATAGCAAAGGAGTAAATTTTGGGAGATTTTGCTTCAATAAAGCTGTTTTTAAAAAGCTACAGCATTTACTCTAACACAAAGAACTGTCACTATTTGACTGAATAAAACTGCAAGCCTAACAATTAAATCTTTTCATTTAACTACCATTAAACATTTTGAGGGAAAACTTGCATAAAATCCTAGCTAATCTAATATTACCAAATCTGTTTGTGAATCTAGCCTATTGGTTCAAGAAATAGGCCACTTTAATACGTCAATTACTGTAATGTGAGTAGCATTAAGCATGAGCTGAATTTAACAAGACAATCCTTTCTACTGAACATCACTTCAATCTGAATATAACAGTAGGTTCCTTACTTGAATATCTTAAATGGAAGAAAGATCAGTATAAAATAATACTATCAAATGAAGTAAACCTAAATTCTTGTATCATTTTATTTCTGAAGCATTAAAAATAAGGCAGGATTTTAGACTGTAAATCACTGTATGACATGTATGAAGTTTAATCTTTTCACTGAACTAGGTCCATGTATTCAATGAAAGAAACCTTTGATTCAACCATTAAAAGCTTTCTGTATAAAAACTACTGTAGTTTGAACTGATAATATTTTGCTGCTTTCTAATCCATTCAAGAAACAATGTAGTAATTGTACTGTATTATTTGTTCCTCTTTCATGTGATATATAATACAGCACTTACCCTGCTTTCTTCTAGGCTATCAAATGGACCTGGTGGATCATCCAGACAAAGAAATTCTCTCACTGCAAGGCTTTTCAAAGGTAAAAAAAAATTAGCTGGCATACAAATAAGTTTACAAAAGACAGCAGAAAGCAAAAGGTACTTTGAAACTATGCAATATGTTAAACAAATTGTTTTGCTGATAATACTAAAATACTTATGCATCTTCATGTAAATAGCCAAATGCAGATTTCGAAGTATAAAAGATACAAAGATTTTATGCTATTTTCTAAGATCTTATAAATATAAGTAAAAGCCACAAGTTTACTATTAACATATAAACCAGTAAGACATAAAACACAGAGAGAAGCCAGAGTAGTGAGCCACCTTATTTTGACTTCAAAGAAGCATCAGTTCTAACAGGTGAAGTCATCACCCTGCTACAAATAAACACAATTCCTAATGTGTATTCCTCTTTTCCTTCTTCAGTGAATTCTTCTACTCACTGAAAAGCATTTACTATGAAATACCTTAAAGACTGCCCTTGCAATATTTATTAATTTAAATAGTTCACCCAGATATTTTAAGAGAAAAAATTCTGACCATCTCTGAATTACAAAAACTTTTTACAATATCAAATAGGATTCCTATGTTCCTTTGCCACCATCAGCAACAGGTTAAGAAGGTAGATAATCAAACTTCCTGACAATAAAACAAAACAAAACAAAAAAGCCCTCTTCCAGAACACAATTTTGGGACCAAGAGATAACTTTATATTTGTGTCAAAAAATAATGTGCAGCTTTAATTCTTCTTATTTGCAAAAGACAAGAATATGATTATCTGATTACTACATAAATGAGATTCAACCCTATGTTGAAAAAAGAATGGGGATTTGGGGGTCAGATTGGGCCAGAGAGGTTTATGACAGGGTTATGCAGTCCTGAAGAGAGAAACAGGCTTTTTAATGAAATCTTTCTAAAAGAAAAATGGATATGAGTTAGTATAAAGAGCATTAAACCCAAAGACGGAGCAAAGAAGCTGCTGGTGAGCAAATTCTAGACTATGCAAGCTTTACAATGAGGGGAAAGCACACATCCCAGGGATGCTGAGGAAAGATCTGCAATATGATATGGCTGAACCACCCTTCCTACACTTTTTGTCCTTTTTAAAAAAATATTTTATTATTTTTATTTTATGTGTATGAGTGTATTGCCTGCATGTATGTGATTGTACCCGTGTTGTGCAATAAGATGCATCTTTTTCAAAATTGGCTGTAAATTTTTAGGTTTACAGTTGAATTATTACAGTTATACAATACTGTACTCAGTATAAAGGCTCAGCCAAGGACAGATCATACTTTACTTCTTCCTCGGTTTTTATGGAAAAACCTATATATGAGTAAAACTGAAATTATCTCCCTCAGTAAGCCACAATTTGTCTCTTCACTGGTTCAACTTCTGAGTCTTAGTTCAACTCTCTCCACTTACTCATGGTAACCCCACGTCCTGCTTCACATAACATCAACACGCATCAAGGATGTTACCCCATTTCCTCTAATGCTTCACCTCCAAGAAGCATCAGCAATGCTCTAATGTGCTCACACTGCATCACACACAGAGCTTTCACACTTAACAATCTGGGAAGGTTAGGATACTAGTTCTTCTATCATAGAAATGACATCAAAGTCAAGTGAGTAAAATGATCTTTCCAATGTCACATAGTTCAAGTGGTCAAGATGGACCTTAAATCTGTTTTCTGAGTATAAATGTGTGCCCTTTTCTATCTTCAAATTACTTTGTCTTATGACTTTGTTCTTTGGATTCTTTCTTCTTGCAGGCTACTTCTCCTAACACCATTGACTTCTGTGCAGCACTCTTCGGTTTTATGTTTAGAAAACCCCAACTGTTTGACAGTACAAAGTAGAACTACTAGTGTTCTGGTGTAGGAAGTATATATAATCCTGCCCAGTCATTCTTCCTATGGAAATACCTACAGATGGATAAAAGTCAGCCATGGGAAATTGCTTTGGGGCTGGATAGGACAAAGTGTGAGTGAAACATGGCAATTAAAAACAAATGTTCCAATCAATCAATGGGCAATGAACTTAAAAAAACAAAACAAAACAAAAACAGTTCAGAAGAAATACAAATGGCTAATAAACACTTCAAAATGTCCAATATCTTCAGCCATGAGGGAAATGTAAATTAAAATTGCTTTGTGATTCCCCATCTTATCCCAGTTAGCATGGCTAAAATCAAAGGAACAATAAATGCTGGTGAAGATTTGGGGAAAGAGGTACTTTTCTTCACTGCTGATGGGAATGTAGCCACCACACAAATCAGTATGCTTCTCAAAATACTACATACAGAACTACCATACGAGCCAGCTATCCCTTACCTGGATATATATCCAAAGGAATCTAAGTCAGCTTACCAGTTATACTTTTCATCCATGTTTACTGCTGCACTATTTAATTGTAAATAGCTAAGAAAAAGAACTAGCCTAGATGTCCACTGACAGGGGAATGGATAATGTAAATGCAGCACATCTACACAACAGAATTTTATTCAGATGTAAAGAAAAATGAAACAATGATACTTGCAGGAAAAAGGTTGGAACTCAAAGTTCTTCTGTTAAGTAAAATATCAAAAGTTTTTTCTCATATGACAATCTTAGATCTTAATTTTTTTGTGTGTATATTTCTGTGTGTGTGTATTTAGGCCAGAGACTAGAAAGGGCACCATGAATGTAGGAGGGAGGACGGTGGGGTAGAGCAGAAGGGAGACAGGAGGATGGGGAGCACAGTGGGGGAAGATCAACAAAAGCAAGCCATGTATAAAACACTAAAATGAAGCCAATTATTTTTTATACTAACAAAAAAATTAAATGTTCAGTATTTTCAGTCACGACCCAATGTCTATCAGGTTTACACCCAAGATTTTGTACTTTTATAACACATTTATGATAACCAATTACTTCTGGACTGCTCCTATTTGGAAAGGAAAAGTGGTTAAGGAATATGTGTATCCTCTTTAGCCCCAGTCCACAGTGAAATTATGATCAACAATGATGTTGACAGTGTGCCCTGCTGAGGGATTGTTTTGAGTAGCTGCTCTGTCTCAGTCCCTTTTCTAAACTTGTATGATGTGTGGCTCCTGCTCAGATGCACTAGACTCCCCGAGTTGTTATCTACAGAGCTTTAAGGCTCTACTCCATGCCTTACTCTTTAAAACATGCATCACAGGGGCACAGCTTCAAAGGGCTCCAACTGGAACTGATTGTACCAAGCTCATCTCCACCTTCCTTCCACTTCAACAGGACTCTTGGTGGAATAAGACCGCTAACATCCTCAAATGGAACTGGAATCCAAGGAGTGGACAAACAAGAATCTTCAAGAAATGGTAATACTAGAGAATACAACAAAATTCCCAAATATTTATTTTTTAAAAATAATATTTTATTTTTTTATGCATATGAGTATAATTGCCTGCATATTAAGTGCATCTATGTCATGCAGTGCCCATGGAGGTCAGAAGAGGGCATTGGATCTCCTGGAACTGAAGTTACAGACAGTTGTTAACCACTGGGTTAACACACAGTTGTTAATCAAACCTGGGTCTTCTGCAAGAGCAGTCAGTGCTCCTAACCATTGGGTCATTCCCCAATACAGAATCGTTCCTTGCCTTCTATAAATTCAAGGCTAGCCTGGGCTATATAGCAAGGCTGCCTCTTAAAAAAAAAAAAAGTCAAAAAACAAAAGTCTGTAATAACATAAATTCTGTCCAAACCAAAATTGACACAAAAGTCACTGCATAAAAATATTCATCAGTTAATACTTTTCTTAAATATTTTCTACCAGTTCAATGAAAACCAAAAAACTCCCCCAAACCAAAGATACTAAATACAACTTTGGGGATGAAGACTCAGGAAGTCAGGTCTGGTGAGACAATCACAATATATGATAGAAGTGGGCTTCTGGTAGATGGGATAGCCTGGCACCGGGAGTCTAATGAGCCTAGCCTTCTTTCACTTGGATACTTTTGGACCCCTAGACTCTACTAGTTTTATGTCTTCTGATTCCAAATATTTCAAATCCCATTTATGGCTCTAGCTGGAAGAGAACTAAGCTCTTAGGGCTGGCATAAAGCACATACCTACACTCAATTAGTTTTCTTTTTTATGTGACACTCTGGCAAAACTCATCTTCATGCCTACAGCTGTGTTTCATGCTGACAGGCAGCTACTTAGACCGGCTGTTATTCTGGCTCAGCCTTCCCACCTCATCCTCACTCTTACTTATACTTCATGTTCAGCTTTTCTATTAACTAGTCATGAAGGCCTTCTTTCACTCGTTCCATTTTCTATCCTCCACTAGGGTTGGTGCTGTGCTAGTGCCTGGAGGTTCCTTTTCATAGGACAAAGTACTGGCAGATAGGATGGAAATACCTCAGAAAACAGAGAACTGTAAAATTTTGCTCTGCTGATTAATGGTAAAATAATGTCAGAGTAGAAGGCAGCATAAACCAGTAGCTGCATTTTAATTATGACAGACTGTGCAAAGTAACTCTCCGTATCTACTTCACCTTGACAAACTGAGGTCTGTGTTTTATCAGCACCTAACTGTGGGTTCTGCTTCTGCAGTCTGATTAGAAGAGTTTCTTTCATCTGAAAAATCCTTTGTCACCCTCGCTTTGATGGTCCAAATATCATTAATTCTTTAGAGGCCAGCTGAAATGTCATTCAGTCCAGTCCTGTCTTTTCCTCCTCTAAAAAGTATCTAAGTTTCTTTCCATTATCATTTTTAAGGGCATGTCTTCTTATTTAGATTTTTTACAAAACAGAATCAGCATCTAATTCATCTTTGTGTAGCCACACTTTATATAGTAAGCCCTAAATAAACATTTGTTGAACAGATAAAATCTCTAATAAATCCTGTTATCATGGAAATACTATTTGTTTTCTTGCTTTATATTTTCTAAATATACCTGAGAACAATATTCTCAGTACTTGCATACTAAGAATTCTTAGTTTCCTTCTGACTCTTTTTTCCATTGTTGCCTTGTCACAGATGGAGCAATCCCAGGAGTAAGAGCTTCCAGCTCTGTTAAGGCAAGCTTTACCCAACATGAGCGAAGTAACCACTGTGCTGCAAGGTGCAAAGGCTATCCAAAAGGAAAGTCAAAGAACAGCTCATATTAATATATGATTGACTATCTGGTCACATAGACACTTAAAAAGAATGTAGACAGGGTCTTATGTGTAGCCCAGCCTGATCTGGAAATTGATATCCTCCTGCCTCAATATCTTGAGTGCTGGGATTACAGGAGTACGGCACCATATCCGACATTTATATGTAGTGACTTATTAGTGCAGCTTTATGTTCTTGTATATTCTCCTTTTCTCTTAGGAGGAACTCCCTCTCTTTCATTTTAATCATAAAGAAGAAAGAATCCTCCATATTTTAAAAAACAATGATGTCTTTCCATAGTGAGTTATCTTTTCCAGCAGCTACTATGTGGATTTATCTGAAGGGGGCATGGAAATCCTGTACAGAGGGCAACAGTAATAATGCTCCCGACAGACAGCAGTCACAGCAGGTGATTGTGTCCCCCCCCACAGTTGAGAATTAGGCATTCATACCTACAGAATGATTAGTGCTGAATGGTGGGGAGATACAATATAAAATATAGCAACAACCCCCCACCAAACCAAGAAAGTACTATATGAGCTTTAAGGAACTGACCTTACATTTGTAAATCACTATCTGGCAGCCTCAGACTTTCTACAGATCTTCTAATTGCTTGTTTCTGACCCATATACATTTCTCTACCACTAATCTCAACCTTACTTTCTAGGCATCCAAATCCTATTTCCACTTCTGCTCCATTACTGCTAATAGTACTCATTCTCTCTTTCAGTGAGTTCTTGTGACGTTTATAATCCATATCAAACAAAGCAGCAACTTACAAACTCCCTTATTTCTTTTTTTTTTTTCAAATAGCAGCCTATTTTCTCTAAATGAATTTTAAGACCAGTGAGTTATGGACTAAGAGTTAAGGTGGATGAAAACCCCTTCTCATGCTTAACAATTTATTAAAAAACCCCTTTTATTGTGAGATAAATAAAATGCTACACATCACCCACAAAAAATAATGTGTACTTTATCACAAAGCACAATGATTCTATTTCCGATCCAACTTCTTTTTTTGATTTTTAAAAATTTTATGTGTATGAGTGTTAATACCTGCATGTGTGTAAGTGGATCCATGTTGTGCAGTGCCCACAAAGGACAGAAGAGGGCACTGGATCCCCTGGAACTGGAATTATGAATGATTAGCCACCATATGGGTGGTGCTGGGAACTGAACACTGAAACTGGGTCCTCTGCGAGAGCAGCCAGTGCTCTTTTTTTATGTGTATGAATGTATTGCCTGAGGAAAACTAGACTTTTTCATGCAAAACTTAGAATTTTAAATTTTGTAAAAGAAGAAAAAAAAACTTTTTACCAACATACTTGGCTCAGAAACCTTCATTTTTCTGAAATGCTGATTTATGAACTGGGCAAGGCTACCAATGGTCTGAGGTGTGCCATTTCTGGACTGCAAGACCTTGGATGTCTCTAGCAAAGTGTCTACTCTTTTGGTTTTTTATCTGCAGAGCTGGGGTTCAAAGTCAAAGCCCTAGGCATGCACAGCACATGCTTTACCACCAAGCTACATTCCCAGTCCTGACTTTCTTCTTCCTGATAAGTTGGTTTATTTCATTTAATTTTATTTATTTTATTTTTTGACAGGGCCTTGCTAGGCACCCTACCTAGGTATATGCCTAGCAATGCCTAACATTTAGTGGCTGAAATCTATTACCATTAATTTAAAAAGAAAAATCTAAATAAGCTACATTTTGCTATTTAAAAATTAAGAAATTATGAGTTACTTACAGTGGCCCATTATTAATATCTGATTAGAAAAGAATACGGTCATTTACTCTTACTAGGCACATTTCCAGTCCAAAGACATGAAGGCTTGCTGAATATGGGACAAAAGAAAGGGGGAGGATATACAGGTTTCTTATTTTAAAAGTGTTTTAACTGTAGTGTATAAAACAACTTCAAAGACTTTTCTATCATTTTAGTACTTACTAGTTTTTGTTACTGCTTTGTGTGCTGGAATTAACAATAATCTTTCTTCCTTTATGTTTTGAGAAATGTAAATGTGTGTATATATATCTCACTTTACATATATATAAAAAGTAGGGATAAGTTCCCTCCACGTAAACCACTAACAGTTAAGTCCATCATATTTTTACAATCTTTTCTGATAAACAGTGACTACGAACAGTTTTGCCATTCATTTCAGAAACACTTCTTGAGAGCTATGTTAGCACTGGGCTAAGAATGGGCCACTGGAAAGTAAATAAAACAACCATATAACCTGTTATGAATCTTACCATCTGGTGGGAGAAACACAACCAAATAATCACAGAAATAATTTGCAAACCAAAAGGAAATGAAAGTCAAGTACCAACCAGTCTTTCTCCACCGGCATTCCCTAAGAATTAAACCGCATTGGTGATGACTTAAATGAGAGCTTCTCAACTCTCAAGATGGACAAAGCTAGTATCATCCTAGAAGTATAGAAGTTCACTGTATAAGCAGGTATCTTACAGCTTTAGGAGATGACTCTCAAACCAGGACTGCTATAAATATTATGGGGAAGAAGAAGAGACCTCATCTTTGATGGCGGTGGGATAAGGGGACAGTCAAGGTCAGTTACTTAATGAAGTGACGTTTGTATTGAACTCTTTGGCATGGACAGGCGTAGCCAAGGCTGAAGACATGTGGGCAGTAGTATGAAATGCAGCCTTCTAGGAAATAATGGACTGGACTTGAAGAACAAGGTGCAAGGTGACTTTGGAGAAAGAGAAGATAAATACAGTAGATGTAAACAGAATGGGTGATGAAGAGAAATAACAAATCCATGGCTGGAAAGCTAGGTAAGCAGGCTGGGACCAAAGTGACTTCATCAAATTGCACCACAAAAGATCATAGCTCTACAGAAATGAGCACAGAGAGGAAGATGAGCAGTAAGACTTCTACAGCAAGTAAGGTAGAGATCTGCTTGCACTAGGATGGTGATGCAGGGATAGAGGAAAAGTAGACAAGTGTGAAAGGGTCCTAAAACATGAAGGAAGAAAGGAAGACAATGAGGGATATACCAAAGATAACTTGCAGGTTTGGGTAGATAATGGTGCTGAAAATTAGGGTAAACTGAAAACTATGCTTTCAAGATTGTTTTAGGTTTGAGGTAATGTTTAAGGCAGCTGAGAGCTGTCAAGAGTGTAACTGCATATATGAATGTAGAGTGCAGAGAAGGGCTCTGCTCATGGTCCTCAGTAAGAGGAAGAAGTGGAGGGTGATGTGCAGGCATCTTGAGAAGCCATCAAGCTGGGGCAGAATGCGTTGAAAAGTGGGATGCGCATGGAGAGCATGCAGGTCTTATGCATACCTGAAGGTGATATACATACAGACAGAGAAAAAAGCAGAAAAGCGAGACAGGATGATTTTCTTATTTGCTTTCCATCATTATTTGAAATATTGCAAACTACAGCTACAGATATATGCAATACACTACTGTTCATATAAATGTTCTCAGCATCCAAAAAGTTCTGATTTATCTAATAACATAAATTCCCAAATGAAATAATTAAGTCATTAAACAATTTTCCTTTTTAAAAAAATATTTTATAATTTTTAAAAAATTATTATATTATTTTTATTTTATGTGTATGAGTGTACTGCCTGCATGTGTGCAAATGCACCCGAGTTGTGCAATGCCTGTGGAGGTCAGAAGAGGGCGCTGGATCCCCTGAAAATGGAGTTACAGATGTTAGCTGCCATGAGGGTGATGGAACCTGAATCCAGGTCCTCTTCAAGATCAGGCAGTACTGCTGAGCCATTACTCCAGCCCCTATTTTTTTTTAAGTGTATGAATATATTGCCTGCATATATGCAGGTACAGCTGTGTTGTGCAAGGCCCATGGAGGTCAGAAGAGAGTGTCGGATTCCCTGGAACTGGAATTACAGATGGTTGTTAGCTGCCATGTGGGTGTTGGGAGCCAAACCTGGGTCCTCTGCAAGAGGAGTTAGTGCTCTTAATCACTGAGCCATCTCTCCAGACCAGTTAAGTAATTTTCTTATATTCAGAGGCAAACATCTCTTTAGATCCTTTTTGTACCATTTAATGTTTTTGGAATTTGGAATTTTTACTACATGAATTAACCTAACTTTACAATTTTTATATTTTTTATATTATTTGGAGAGAGAAAAATACTGTCTCATATTTTCTATCACATTAACCCAAAACTGACTACTATGTGAGTCACTGTGTTTTAATAATTTAATGAATATTAAAATCAAGTTTACAGCTGGGTAGTAAAATTAGTGCATGGTATACTGAGATTTTCACTTTACTCTTTATGAGCTTTAATAAAAATGAAATGCTAAATAAAATCCTTAATTGAAAGAGAGCAAGAAAATCCATGTAGAGCTTTGAGAAATAATTATATTCCCACCGTTTATTATGGGCTAAGATGATGATGGTTCTGGATTCATTCTTCAGTTTAAGCTGGTTGGTGGAATGATTTTATAATCTCTTATTTCGGTTAGTTACGTACCAGTTGGCAATGTCTTTGTGAGCTACTAAATTTTGAAGAAACGCCTGTAATCCTAATTGTCTATCTTCTAAAAAGTCCGTGTTGTAATTATCTTTAAACCAGCGTTTTGGAGGGAGTGCTAATCGAAAGCCTGGAAACATCTCTTTTAACTGAAAAAAAAAAGAGACAAATATGGTTAGCTCAATTACATTAATTGTAAAAGTCTATACTGTTGAGTATGTGAAATCATTCATAAAACAAGCTTAAATAAATTCAGCTTCTTAATTCTTTCTCTTGATTTCTACCAGAGTTGCATACAGAGGAGTTCTAGTTGCTTCTCATTCTTCTCTGAACTTGGCATTTTCCATTTTTCTAATGTGAGTCATGCTGGCGGGTAAGGGGTAGGAGTTCACTGTGGCTATAATTCGTATTTCTGAGTCCATAAACAGTGTTGAATAGCTCTTAACCTGATTATCTGCATATCTTCCCCAGTGAATTATCTATTCAAATCTTTTGAATAGCTCATTTAAAAAAGTTAGGCTGCCTTTTTATTAAGTTGTAAATGTTCTTTAATAAGCCCCCATACAAGTCCTTTGTGAGACGTATTACAAACATTTTCTCCTAGACTACTTTCTTCATTTTAACAGTCTTATCAGGTTTTGAAACTTTAATGTTATCTAATTCACTGATATGGGTTTTTTTCTGTTATGGGTTTTTAGGCCATAAGTTCTGCTCAACCACAGGTACAAGGATTTTCTTCTGTGTATGCCTTTTCCTACAAGTTCGTATTTTAAATTTTCAATTCTGGTTTATGATCCGTTTTGCACATTGGCTTCAATTTTACTTTCTTAGGGAAGATTTTCCTAATCTTTGAAACCAGGTTAAGTATCCCTTTATATTTCAGTTCAAATTAATATGTAATAAATTATCTCAAACTTACTAGTGAGAAATAAGTATTTATTAAGCTCACAGATCCAGGGTTCAGTGATTCTTAGAAGGCACAGTGAGGATGACTTATTCGTCCTATAATAAACTGGAGCCAAGGCTGGAAGATCTGAAGATGGGGAGTTGGCACCACCTGAAGCTCACTCAAAAGTGTGGGTCGACTGTCCTGGTTTCTGAGAGAAACCTCAGCTAGAGCCAGCAGCCACAGGCCTCAAATTGGCCTCTGGCAGTATCCTTGACTTTCTCACAGCATCCAGGCTGGGTAAAAAGGAGCGCCCCAAGGGAGAAACCCAGGATGAAATCACATGCCTCTCATGATCTAGCCTGGTTGCTTGTTCAATACTATTTCCACTGTCTTCTATTAGTTTAAGTAATCACAAGCTCATTCAGGTTCATGATGAGGGGAAATACAGTCTTATCTCTGGATTAGGAGTGGCAAGAATCTGGAAAAACCACATGGGAATGAAGACAATGATATTCTACTGTACACTGTCAAGTCATTAACAAATTTCTTAATATTTACCACAACGTATACACTACTTAACTTTGGATTCTCCTATTAGACCAGTGGTTTCATTATTCATTTACATTAAATTTTTAAATTTTATTTTTATTTATGTGTGTGAATGTTTTACCTGCATGTATGTAAGTGCACCTGAGTTGTGCAAAGCCCATGGAGGACAGAAGAGAGCGCTGGATCCCCTGGAACTGGAGTTATGGACAGTTGTTAGCCACCATGTGGGTGCTGGGATGGAACCCAGATCTTCTGGAAGAGCAACCAGTGTCTTAACTGCTGAGCCACTTCTCCAGCCCTTAGATCAGTGGTTTTAAACCCTTGCTGCACATTGGAATCACTCAAGGCTTTTTAAAGCACATGAATAATGATGCACTACCTTGAACAGATCAAGATTTTATTCACTGGAGTATGACTGGGCATTGTAATTTTTAAAACATTTTCAGGGGAATCCAGAGTGCAGTCAAGATTGAGAACCATTTTCCTACACTGTAATTATACCTTATTCATAGCTGCACCTTAAGGTCTAGTATAATGCCTGCTATATAAAAGCACTCAACAACATATACTCAATAAATGAATGAAATACATCCACATACACCCACATCTCCCTTGTTCCCTTTCTTTCCCTCCCTCCTCTTCTTTTTGTACTAAGAATTGAATCTATGTCCTTATACATCTAAGTAAGCATTTTACCACTGTGCTACACCTCCAATTCTCTTTTCACTTTGAGACAGGGCTTTCATTTAAGTTGCCTAGGCTGGCCTTGAACTAACTCTGTAACTCAATCAGGCCTTCAGATTTCAATCCTCTTGCCCCAGCCTCCTGAATAGCTATGATAACAGGTTTGTATCCTCAAGCTCACTATTATAGTCTCATTTCAGTTTTTACATATAAAACTAAGTATCATAGCCATGAAAAAAAGATCAGAACTAGTGAGACTGCACAGGAGAAAGGATAACTAGAATATGAAATGACATTCTTCCTATATGTCTATAAATATGTGAAGAAAAAAATAAATACCAGAATGTAACTTGGATAACTGAAAATGCTGATTTGATTTCAAGAGGTAAATAGGTATTTTTGGTTTTGAGGCTTTGTAATTTTAAGTCTGCAATCAAAATCAAGTATTCATAGTGATACAGTGATAAGGAAGAAATAAAGTCTTTTTAGTAGTTTCAAGCTTTGCAATTCAAATTGCATGTTTGCCTGAATACATGCTTAATTTTTTTTCTTTAAAATTATCCATGGAGCTGGGCGTGGTGGTGCACGCCTGTAGTCCCAGCACTTGGGAGGCAGGAAAGCTGGGCTACAGGGAGACCCTGGACAAAAAATATATATATATATTATATATCCATGGAAAAATGGGAGTTGTCATAAAATTTAAGAAAGAACAAGACTTAGGACAGAGGAAACTAAAGGAAGTAGCGAAGGTTCGTCAGAAGGACACTGACCAGTAATCCAGATGGACATTGGGTGCCACTTACAAAGAAAACACTGAGGGCTAACAGATTACAACAGAGCAGTTACTTAGGAACCAGACGTGTGCACCCCTCTAACTCAACTTTTTAATGGGACGATTATACATGAGAACTATCCCTAACTCTACTACTTTTGTGAACCGACTCCACAATATGCTTACATCATGACCATGAGCTGACAATAGTCCTGACCTTCCTTCCCCACACTGGCCCGCCTGGACTAAGTACACTCCTTTTACCTCATCGAAGTGTTTAGCTTTGACCAGCTGCTGTGACCTACATGTAGAAAATGCTGAGTTCTTAAGAAGAATTTATAAAACCCCACTTCTTGTGGCCATTAGTTTGCAATCAATACATCATTCAACCTATCCTATATCCCTGCCTGGCTCCTCTGACTCAGGTAAGCCCTACCCAGCACAAAACTCCCTCAGGACTTTGTCCTTTGGCTTCCTCAGCAGAGGTGCTTATAAAACGCCCAGAGAAGAAGCCAGACTATACTCTAGGATATTTAAAAAAAAAAAAAAAGGGGGCAAAGATAAGTGTTCTACAGAAAATTTTGTCTAACAAGTGTCATTTGAAATACATGTGATAATTCTGAACTGTCAATTAGCTACTTGATCCATGACTATAGATAACAGGAATGTAAACTCCTTAGTAAAGTCAGGATCCTATCTCTGTATTTTCTATAGCATCTCATATTTCTAGCATAGTATCGAACTCAAGCTACTCATTACGTGTAAGTGTTCTGTGATTCATTTTACAAAATAAAAGATTTCAACATTGTACTTTAGTTTTTAATTTTGATTAAAAATGTTTTTATTATGTGTAGACATGTGTCTGTGTGGGTATGTGCACGTAAGCACAGGTGTCCACAGAAGCCAAAGGTATGGAGCTGGAGTTACAGGTGGTTATGAGCTGCTTGTTCAATGTATTTGCTAGGAACTGAACTTGGGTCCTCTGCAAGAGCAGTGTGTGTTCTTAACTCTTGAACCATCTCTCCAGTTCTTTGCTTTATTTTTAAAACAATTTTTAAAATATTACTTGTAATTTAAACTATGTGCTGCTGGTATTTGACATGCATTCTGAAGCTTGTCAGAAAAAAACAGGTCAAGTAGGTGATAGGCAGAGCTCTTTCTAGTATCTGTTATAGTGCTCCTTATCCATGGTTATTCTTTTATGGCTCAACTTCTCAGGGTCAACTATAGTTTAAAATAAATGGAAAATTCCATAATAATTCATCAATTTTGTCATGTGCTGAGTACATGATGATATCTCATGCCATTCCACACCAGAGAGGCTTGAATCATCCCTTTGCCTAGAGTGTCCACTGTGCACTGCCCATGCTACCTAATCCTTAAAGTCCCTCAGCCATCCTCTCAGTCATCAGATCAAACTGGATGGCACAGTGCTGCAGTGTTTGGTTCAAGCACCTGATGCAGGGGCCTAGTGTTACTGGCAATGCCTGTGTCACTGCTCTTCATCTTCACCTTAGGTGAGCATTACATCATGTCACTCTTGTAAGAAGGCTAGGCACATATTGAGGATGAGATATTTTGAGAAACCACATTCACATAACTTTTAGTATATTGTCATAATTATTTCATTAGTTATAAATACATTAATATGACTAATTTATAAGTTAAACTTTATCAAAGGTATGACCATAGAAGAAAAATGCTACATGGGGTTTCTTTTTATTTTCCTACCTGCAGTGTCAAGCATTCACTGGGGATCTTGGATGTGTCCTCAGAGACTAAGTGGGCCTATGTGTAAGACTGATTACAGATCAGTAGGGGTTTTAAGTACCCAGCTTAGAGGAAAAAGGAGGTATTCAGTAGATTTAAACTATTAACATCTTTCAAAATGTTTGCGTTATCGGATACTTCAGCTTATGTAAGAAATATTTTAGTTTAGAGAGATTGAATATTTGAGCTCTGAAAAGGAAAGTAATAAGCTGGATGGAAGTGGTGGTGAAAAACTGCAATCCCAGCGTTCAGGAGCATGAGGCAGAAGGGCTGCAAGCTTGAGGCAGCCTGAGCTGGGTTATAAACAAAATCCTTCATAGGGAAAAAAAAATCATAAGGGAGTGAAACAGCCTGAAATTGAAACTGAAATTAGTTTGAATGAATAAAATACCTATTTTCTTTATTGAATTTTTGTGTATTTTATACAGAAAATCGTCTTTATACCCCTTTTCCCTTTAGTACCCTCCTACAGCCCCCCACTGGAGTTCATACCTTCTGTCACTTAAGGCCTATCATGTAAAGTTAGTGTCCCCAGATATCTTCAGTGCAAGTTCATCCACTGGGATCTAGTCAATCTATCTAGAGTCCCTCCCTTTAAGATCAGCTCATGCTCATCCAGAAAATACCAATTTTTTAAAAAGGCAAGAACTCCTTTAAACATGTGGCATCTTTATGAATTGCTTTGATATTCAAATTATTCAATCACTTTAAAAAAAATCAAAAGAAGTACAGAAGTACAAGTTTTCAATTAATCAGTATAATATGTGAAATGCAGTAATACTGAATAAAATTGATGTGAATGGTAGGCATATTTTTGTCAGAGAAAAGAGCATCTCTGATCTAAAAAGCTTGAGAACAGAAGAGTTTCAGATTTTGTTTCTTCTATTTTGCATATGTATGACGAAATACCTTGGGAATGAGACATACATTTAAACAAGAAATCAATTTTTATCTCACGTATTTATATCCACCCGCAAGCCTGAAGTCAGTTTTATGTACTATTTTCGGATAGCTGCCACATAAGGTCAGGGGTAGGGTTTTCACTTCTGGTGTCCTGCCATTTCCAGATTTCAAATGTCTGGATTAAAGATGCTTAACTTGTATTACAAAAAGGCATCTTAAACCCTCTTACTGAAAAGTTGGGAGTTTATCATGCCATATTTTACTGCTTTCAGAGCAGCAATCTTTTTTGGCAGCCAGAGTTCCAAAGTTACATAATTGGAGTTTCTGAGCATCAAGCACCAGAAGAGGGAAGGAAGGGTCGTGAACCAGAGAGAATAGGGCCAGGAAAGCTTTGCTACCACACTTAGCTGTCAAAACTGGGATGAGCTATGGGATATCTCAAGCTCATTTCACTTGGCCACTTGTAAAAGCACTGTAAACCACTTGTGTCTTTTAGAAAAATGGTCTTTGTTTTTGGCTCTCAAAACTTCACGCACCTTTCACTTGCACATCTCAATCCTTCAAACTGTGGACAGTTTTCTGCCCTTCTTTCTCTATTGCTCTCTAACTGCAATTTACTTAATTTCCCACTGCTAGACATTTAGATTAGCTCTACTTTTTAACTATTAGGTCCAAAGTAGAGCATAAATAAAAGATCCCTGAACAAAACATCACAAATATCCTTTAAGTTAAATTGTTTCCATATTCATAATGCATATATAAGATGCATATATAAGATAAATTCTAAAAATGTGATTATTGAGTCAAATAATCACTGCCTGCCTCTGCCTCCCATTAAGGTTTGCTATTATCCTGCAAATATGTAGAGAATTTTATATAGTTTTATTTGTCTCTGGTTTTACTGAGACTGTGTTATGTTACTAAGCAAAAAAGGGACTTCACACCTGCAATTAAAGTTATTAATCAGCTGACCTTCAGATGGGAGATTAGCTAGGCAAGCCCAACTTTGTCAGGTGAGCCCGCAAGCATGTTTTCTCTGGCTTGTGGTGGAAGAGAAAGTTAGAGATAGAGCACCAGAAGGATTTGGCCCGCTGCTGCAGCTTTGAAGATGAAGGAACCATGTATAAGGAGAAAAGTGCTGCCTCCATGCCCTAAGAATGATCTCTGGCTGACAGCCAGCAAGCAAACAGGTAACTTGCTCCTACAACTTCAAGAAACTAAACTCTGCCAAAAAACGGAATGCGCTTGGAAGCTGATTCTTCCCTAGAGACACCAGATAAGAGCCCAGCATTGCCAATAGCTCAACTTTGAGCTTGCCCAGTCTGAAAAAGCACTTATGCTCTTATCCCAAACCACTAAATAGTAAACAGGTGCTATTTTAACTAAAATGATTTTGACAGTGGTAGGCAGCAATAGAACTAATATTAATGTCAAATTTTGTGTGTGTGTGGCGGGGGCATGGCTCAGCAGTTAAGAGCACTGGTTTTTCTTACAGAGGACCTGAGTTCAATTCCCAGCACCCACATGATGGCTAACAACTGTCCGTAACTCCAGTTCCAGAGGATCTGATGTCCTCTTCTGACCTCTGCAGGCACTGAATGACTTACATACATGCAGGCCTACTCATACATGTAAAACAATATTTTTTAAATGTTAAATGTTTTTGTTCACTCCCTTAATTATAATAAGTCAAGTGATATTATATAGATTTTCTCAAACTTATGAAGTTATATAATCATATATTAAGTAGTAAGGGTTTCATATTTATACAAAATTACTGTTTTTCATAAATATGGAGTTAAGTGTACAAGTGACACCAAAGATTATTATGGTGAAATGAAATATCTGATTTTCTTATGAATTAGAAAAGATTTGACAATTAAAAGGGACAAAAGATACACATAATGCAAGTGTAGGGATCAGATACATGATTCACAATAGAAAAGGCAGCTTGGGACTTACTGAAGCACTTACCTTGTCATTAAGTCTAGAGAAGTCAGTGTATCTTCTGAAAACTACCCAGCTTTCTTCTGGGTTTTTCTTTACTAGTATTTTATATACCTAGAGAGGAGGACAGAAGAGAAAATAGAGATGAACATTTTTTAATAAATTTTTTATAACTATGCAATTTTTAAACACTATTTATTATTTTAAATGTATGAGCGTCTTGCCTGCATGTATAAAAGTGTACCACATGCATGCAATGGTCTGTAGAGGCCAGAAGAGGGAGTCTGATCCTCTGGAACTGGAGTTATGGACAGTTGTTAGCCTCCATGTGGGTGCTGGGAATTGAACCCGGGTCCTCTGGAAGAACACCAAGTGTTCTTAACCACTAAGCCATTTCTCCAGCCCCCAAACTATGCAATTTTTATGTAATATCAAACCCCATAGATAATCAATGGAGACACCAAAACAATTTTTCAAAGTATGACTAAGACAAAGTGCCTTTTCTGTGCATGCTGAGAATGAATAAATTAGCTCCAAAAATGTTTTGTCAATATAGCCTATTCTCAATAAAAGAACAGTTAGATGTAGTAAAAAGTCCCATACAAATAAATTATTTTAAGCTTAATATCTATAAAGCTGAGTTTTCAAATGAGTTCAATATTTTTTTAATCTTCTTGGCTGAAACATAAGCATGAAATCTTTTTAAAATTGTCCATATTAGAAAAGTTTATACTTCTGTAATTATGTACAATTGTCTTAGATATTGAACAGAAAATTTTGGTTGAAGCAATTCAACATATAAAAAGAATATTTTAAGAAACAGATTCTACTTTTTAAAAATATAGAACTGTTATTTATGATAGAATCTCAAGAGAAACATCTCATAGGCATTCTCAGTACAGGATTCTCTCTCTAACAGAGGTACTCCACACCTGTTGAACAATGAAATTACTTAATAAAAATAGTGTGTTTCTGTGAGACAGTGCTGCTCCACAGACAAGCCAGCATATAAGGCTGTGGACCATCCTTGCCATTGATTTTTCTTTTTCCTTTCTTAAATTAAATTTAAAAAAATACTTTTTTAAAAAAAACCCAGGTGTGGTGGTGCACTTCTTTAATCCCAGCACTCAGGAGGCAAAGGCAGGCAAATCTCTGTGAGATTGAGGCCAGCCTAGTCTACATAGTGAGTTCCAGGCCAACTGTGGCTATTGGGAGATCCTGTCTCAAAAAGACCAAAACAAAACAAAAAAACCCAAATCCACTTTATGTGTAGCAATACAATTTCCATATTAAGTAATACTATAATACATTTAATATAGTTTTAGACAGAAGAAAAAAGGGAAGCATTTCAGGTTATAAAACAAATGTAACAAACAAAAAAAAAATCACTTTTTCTAGGTGGGTCAATGCAAAAAAATATATTCAGTGGTTAGTCATGTCTAATTTTTATTGCACTAATGGTCAATTGAACTAAAAAGAAATAAATTCAAAGTTTAAGCGATCAGAGAAACCAAGGTTCGAAGAACAAAGAAATGAAAGGAACCTACTTAGGGAAAAAAAAAAAAAAAACTTGCAAATCTAAGGCTTCCAAGTTGTATCTCTAATTCTGATTTCTTCACCAAACTCAACACGTACCACATACATCTGTATCTATCTCACATACATTTATACATACTACATACATAGTCCTCCATCCATTCTAATATCTATCGGGCATCTTAAGTCTAGCAATTCCTGATTTTCCTCTTGAAATCCTGCATCTTACTGAAGGACTCACAATCTCACTGTAAGTTGGAAGCTTCTAAGGTTAACTTTGACTTCTTTTGCCCACATTCTACTTCCAAATAATTAGGAAAAACTGTTGGCTCTACCCACAAAATGGATTCAGAATCTGGTAACTTCTTCAGACATTCTCTATCACCGGCAACTACACCATTATCATGTCCCTAGGCCACTCCAATAACCTAACTGCTTCCTGCTTCTACTTTTCTCCAAACACGTGGCCATAATTCCTGCCAAAGCAAGCCGTTAAAAGAATTTTCAGATCATGACTCTTTTAAAAGCCTTTTCAAAGGTTTGTAACATACATGATAGTCTAACACACTGTAGTGAGCCCTGTTGTGTGTCTCATTTCTCTGCTGTCTAGTTTCCTACCGGTCTCCACCTTGCTTACAGACACAAAAGGCTTTGCAGTTGTCCACCTATGTGGAAAGCTCTTTACTGAGAGCTTACTCCCTATTACTATAAAGCTTTTCTGTGAGGCCATGACTGACAATTTAATTCCAACCTTATTTTGCGGGGAGCATCTGTCTTTCCTTTTTATATTCATCTTTAAAGCTTTATCATGTGACATACCAGCAATCTTTTATTTACTTCATCATTCAGGTTGTTAGATCATTGTTACTAGAAACAGTGCCTGGCATATAAATTAAAAAAAAAAAAAAAAAAAAAAAACACACACACACACACACACTACTATAGAGGAAAACTAAAAAGACTATCTTTGCCTTAAGTTTGGCTACAAATTTGCATTTTCATATATTACCTGTCTCAATTTGAGCTGTTATAAAATATTATAAACTGAATAGGTTATGAATAGGACAGTTATTTCTCAGTTTTAGAGGATTAGAAGTCCAACATCAAGATTCTATTAGACTTAGTGCCTTGTGAAGTCCCACTGCCTGGCGTATAGATGGTGCCTTATAGCTGTGTGCTGGGGCAGAAACAAAAGAAACAACAAGGTGGTTCTCTGGGCCCCTTTTATAAAGCTAGTAGTTCTATTCAAAAGGACTCTGCTCCCAGGACCTAATCACCTTCCATAGACCCTCTTTCTTTGTTAAAATATTATTACATTTACTTTTTAATTTTGTGTGTGTGTGTGTGTGTGTGTGTGTGTGTGTGTGTGTACATCTGTGGGCATGCCTGTGCCACAATGCATGTGTAGAGCTCAGACAACATTTGGGAGTCAGCTCTCTCCTTCTACCATGCAGGTCTGGGGGAGTGAACTCAGGTTTTCAAGACTTGGTGGCAAATAGCTATACTTCCTAAGCCATCTTGCCAGCCCATGCCCTACCTTTTAATGGCATCATTTTAGGAGTAAGCCTTCAACATATGACTGTGTGTGGACAAACATTTGTACCCTAGCATAACCTTAGTGAGCACACATTCTTTTGTAAGGTAGACAAGTCAATGTAAAGAAATGAGCCATCAGATTATAATTTCTAGATTGCTCCCAAATGACAGTTCCATTCAGATTCTTATCCTATACCAGTGTCATGGTAACTTAACCTCTAAATACTATCTCTTCATAAATTATGCCAATATTTTTTTCTTGGAGGCCCTTTCCCCCAGGCATAAATTAACAGCAATGAACCACAGGTATAAACATAAAATATGCAAGAAAATCTGAGAAAGAAACTCTTTGAACTAATGTGATTTGGGTTAGTGATAAACACACCAAGGCAAATGTACAAAAATATCTGTTAAAATATAAAACTCAGTAATGAAAAAAATAGAAAACAAAAATATATAGATTTCATACAAGAGCATCAAAAAGTCATCTCCAGAAGACCTCTGCCCAGACAACTACAAAACAAAGACTTAAGTCAATGAATTCAGTTCATATGTCTGAAGATAACTATGAAGTTGAAAGTTCTCCCCAACTAACTTACAGATTTAACAAAATCCTAATACATAGGCCAAGGCAAATGTGAGAAACAACAAAGCTAGAATACTGAAAGTGTTGGGTATCAAGACTACTCTACTAATTAAGATATAGAACTGGTAAGATAGAAAAACGGAGCACAGAAGGACATCCACACTTCTGTGATTTGTGTCACAGGCAACACTGCAAATGAAGAGTGGTTTTGTAAAAGTTTGGAAAACTGAATTCACATTAAAATATACATGTCTTGGCCCATTCATCACAATATCAACAAAACCCCCAATTTTGGATGGTTTGCCGATATAAATGTGAAGGGGCTAATAAGCAAGCTCTTAGAAAACATGGGCAATATGTTGTATAACATTAAACATTATAAAAAAGCTGGTCAAGTGTAGTAGAGATGTCATAATCTGAGACATGAGAGGCAGAGGCAGAAGCAGAGAATGGTAAGCCTGACATCAGCTTGGGCTACATGGTGAGACCCCACCTCAAATTAATAATAATAATAATAATAATAAATAATGATAGTAAGAAATATTCTCTTGGTTTTCATATTATTGGTATTTTTGCATTGCCACTTGGGCATCTGGATGGATGTTTTTTGTTGGTTTTATGTGCACTAGGAAATTCTATTCTGCCTTTGTTTACTTGAATTTTGGTTCCATTTATATTGTTTATGTAGCCTGGATGCTTTTTGCTCAAGCGTGAAAAGTTAGTTGGTATGTGCTTCAGGTTCTTGCAGGGTAGTAGGCTGGTCTGGGTAGTTGGTGGATCAGAGTAGTAGGCAGGCCAGTCAGAGTAGCTGTCATGCCGGGCTGTGTTAGGCAGATCAGGAGTCCAGGGGAATGTGAGGGTGGGGACAGCTTGTGGACGGAATTAACAAACTATGCTAGAAGATTTACTTAGTCTGGGTTAGGAAGCTAGTCCAGCGATCTGAGGTGGATGCGCAGGAGTGGGCCTGGACCCAAGGCCAGCAGGGGGACAGTGCGGGGGTGGGTAGATTTGATATGTTCAGGCTGCAGGGGACTTTCTAATTTGGACACCAGTTGCTCAGGCATTAAGGTCAACAATCAACAAGCGGGACTTCATTAAGGTACAAAGCTTCTGCACAGCAAAAGAAACAATCAAGGAAGTGAAGAGGAACCCCAGTGAGTGGGAGAAAACAGAGGATTAATATCCAGAACATACAAAGAACTTAAAAAACAAAGAAATAAGAAAATAACCCAATAAAAAGATGAGCTATGGATCTGAACAGAGAGCTCTCAAAGGAAGGAATAAAAATGGCTAAGAAACATCTTTAAAAGTACTCAACATCTTCAGTAATTAGAGAAATGCAGATCAAAACCAGTTTAAGATTTCATCTTACCCCAGTCATACTGGCCAAGATCAAGAGAACAAAAGACATCACATGCTGGCGAGGATGTGGAGAAAGAGGAAAAGTCATTCACTGCTGGTGGGATTGCAAACTTGTGCAACCATTATGGAAAGCAGTGTGGAGAACTCTTAAGAAACTAAAAACGAATCTACCATATGATCCAGTTACACCACTCCTTGGCATATACCCAAAGGACTCATCCTATTGCAGAGATACTTGTACAACCATGTTTGTTACTGTCTTTTCATAATAACTAAGAGATGGAAGTAAGCTAAGTGCCCCCTAACTGATGAGTAGTTAACGAAAATGTGGTACATTTACACAATGGAGTTCTACTCAGCAGAAAGAAAACATGAAATTATAAAATTTTCAGGTAAATGGATGAACTAGAGACTGGTATACTATGTGAAATCACACAAACTCAGAAAAGCAAGCCATGTATATTCTCCTTCATTTGTGGATCATAGCACTAGTCCCTTACATGAGAGTATATATCCTGATGTAACAGCAGGAACCAGGAAAATGGAATGAAACAGAGATAAAGGGAAAGAAAGAATCCCAAAGAGGGGGATAATAGGGAACAGATGTTACCAGTGGGGAGGTTGGAAAAGTGGGCGTGTTCAACTGGGAGGGGAGGAGGGAGCGACATGCAGGGGACCATGGGAGTGGGGGGGAGGGAACTCAGGAGAGGGAGGTGGTGGGAGGCCAGGTGTTATGGTGGGAGAGAAAATGGGGGTGCTTGAACTAGGAAGGGATGTTGGATGGGGGAAGAGAGAAGAGATGAGTGGAGCTTGGGTAACTTGGGAAGCCAGAGGGAAATGTGTTGCCTCCTGAACACACTGAGAAATACACAAATGGTGTCTGAACATTAGTGCATGTGTATACCTGAGGGCTTGTACGGCAAGGAACACTGCCAGACAGGAGAGACACCCCTCCTTTGAGTTGATGGTCAGAGTAGTCTAAGAGACTCCCCAAATAACACAGGCTATTGCTGGAGCCCTTGGTTATCTCCCAGAACTTGAAGGTAAGACCTTACTGCTGAAGACGGGGTATACTTCAGGACTTGGAGCAATGGAGCTGGAACTAACCTAGAAGCCTTCTCCCTGAAGACTAGCTCTTGTAATTCTAGAGGATCCTTTGCAAGCTGCTAAGGGAGAAAAACCAATCAATAGTCTAATCCAGCTCTAAAGCTTAATAATCTCAATGACTGGCACAGCAAACACTACCTCTATTGGTACAGTAGTGGCACTGCTATCTGGGGCCAGGGGTGGAGTGGGTAATCAACAGCTATCTAATTGGACTTGGAGCCCTCTTAATAGAAGGGAACTCATGGGTGTCACTGTAATTATAGCCCAAAATACATGCCTGGAGAGGCCATAGATCCTAGAGAAAAACCGTATCTCTGGACAAATGAAATTTCTTACCATATGCTAAATATGGATCCTTATGTTTACAGACAAGAGTACTGTATACCACTCATCAAAGAAACTTCTTCCACAACTGGTCACACACAGAGAATATGCATCTGAGAGATAGATGCCCATCCCTAGGTGACGTATCTACAATGAAGTCTCTACATCTAAGGCTAAAGGAACATATTGGAACAGGGGGTAGAGAGAAGATTAGTGCATCCCTCAGCTCTCACTAGCGAAGTTTCCTTATACAACAGAGTGTGATACACACAGAAGGCCACAACTGGCCAAGTTTTAGAAAATAACAGACTGTAGAGTGTGTGTCCCTGGATAGGAATCCTATATTAAACTTACCCACCCATGGCTCAGGGACCACTGCCAAGGAGTGGGTGGAAAGATTTTAAGAGCCAGGGTTGGTCCATGAACATAGGGAAACAGAGGCTTTCAGGCCACTGGAGTTTGCTCATGTGAATCTGTGGCAATGGTGGTGACATGTATAAGACCTATGCTAACTCAGTCAGACAAGGGCCCAGTGTAGAGTGAGGAAAATGGGTGACAGGCTGGCCCTAGCCTGGGAACTATTGGCAACTGATTACTGCTGGGTTGACGGACAGTAGATCTTCCTTAAGAGCTTCAGGGAGGCTGACTGGACTCCAGTGGTTAAACTTGCACTGAAGGACATATGGGTACAAATGCTTGACCAGATAGAACTTAATACGTAGGATAGAATGCATGCGGTCCGGTGGGGGGCAAGTATGGGGGAGGGGATCTAAATTCGATTAAGAACTATTGTATGAAATGCACAAAAACCCAATAAAACATATTAAAAATATTCTAATATTTAAAAAAGGAAATAGAAATGAATCCTAAAATAAATTTTCAAGTTTTTTTTTGGTAACTTTTTTTTTTTTTTTTTTTTTGTTTTTTTGGAGCCGGGCTCCCCCTGGGCCCCCAGCTGCCCTGAACCCCCTTAGGAAGCCCGGTTTGGCTTTAACCCCAAAGAGACCCCCCTGCCTCTGCCTCCTGAGTGCTGGGATTAAAGGCGTGCGCCACAGTAAGTCTAAGATTTTACAAGAGAATATCCAAATAGCCCCAAAAGTTTTGAATTCTTTGTTACTAAGAAAATTCAAAGCCACAACATGAAATTCTATACAAACCAGAAAACACAAAATAAAAGATGGCAACACAGCTACATGTTGGGGAGTTATAGAGTGGGTGGAAACTACACCTACTGCAGAGCAGAGCGTAGGCTAATCCACTGCTCATTAGTTCTCTCGTAAACTAGCCAGTAATTTTACTCCTAAGTAGACAACAGAAATGTGTACATATGTTTAACTAAGGGACAAGTCCTACAATGTTCACAGCACTAGTATCTGAAAAAATGAATATACCAGTAATCAACAAGGACTACCCACGATTTATACAAGATTAAGGGTGACTTACAAGAATAATGCTGAAGAAAAGAAACTGGACTGCAAAGAGTACATATTCAATAATCTCATTTATATCAAGTACATAAAGAGGCAAAATTAATCCAGGTTATCAGAAAAGTACTGGGTGAGTGGGTACTGACTGGCATGGACCTTGGGGGTTGCTTGCTAGCAAAGTTTGTTTTTCTTCATCTAAGTGCTAGTTTCACAGGTATGTCTGGCTAGTGAAAGGAAATTCATTTAGGTAAAATAGAAGTTTAGTATAGCATGACAGAATTTACTTGTGTAAAACTACTGACTTGTTTGATCAGGAGTTAGAAGTACAGGCTTACCTTAACCATCACTAGTTTAGGTACACAGGTAAGCCAATCTTTCACTTTTTATTGGTGTGCAGAGGTCAATACTTACAGTAAATTTGGCTCTTTCTTCCATAACTTCATAACCCAGTATTGTAGGGGTGGATGGTCTCTCCTCCCAGTTCACTGTTTCAGCACTGTGTTCTTCAGTGTCTCTTGCTCTAGTAGAATACTCAATGGAGGAATCTGTTCCTGTAAATTTAGTCCTGATGAGAGGACTGCTGCAGACAGATGAAGTACTATTTGCCTGATCCTGAACATTCGTCTGCTTAAAATTACCCAGAGCTGAGTCTTCTGGCTGGCCTTTGGATGAGTTTGAGCTTGTTGAGATACTGCCAAAAGAAGAACTTCTTTGATTTCTGTTGGTGGAAAAACTGGAAGCAGAGTTTCCTATTGGTACAGGAACTGGGACATAAGGAGTTGCCATCTTCTTTTGCCTTGGCAACAAACCTTGTACACCTTGAGTCCACTTAGAGAAAAACTAATCTGCGATTCATTATTTTCTTTTAGGAATTCACTATCTAAAAATGAGAAGGACACATTATAAAGATTAGTCTTCACTCTGGAATGTAATCCAAAAGAAAACATAACACTTTTTAATTTGCAACACTCAGCACTTATGAAACATATTTTTAACCCTTCCTCAATCTCAGCTCTCTCCAAAGACTCATGTTTGCAACGTAAAGAGAATAAATTTATTCTATATTAATTTTATTGACCCTTAGAGTACATATTATTCTTTACTGTTGTTTGGTTTTGTCTTTTTGAGACAGGGTCTCCAGTAGCCCCAGCTGGCTTTGAACTCACTATGTAGAGCAGGCTGGTCTCAATCTTAATCCACCCACCTCTGCCTCCTGAGTGCTGGAATTAAAGGTGTACACCATCACTGGCAATGTTAAAGTGTTATTCTTTTTTTCCCCGTCTTGTTTCTCTTATTTTTGCCATGCTTATTTTAATTTTAACCTAAGTTGATCCCAATCCGTGCGCACACATCTCACCAAAAAGGTAAGAGAGTGACAAGTAAAGACTCTCTTGATATTTTATGGTCCTGATAGTACTATACAAAATACTGGTAAAAATGAGGTCATTCAAGTTGCCTTTTTATTTAGTGAAACTCTAAGGACTTACACAGCATAATACAGTTAATCAGAAGCTACACGGTGTGTGGCAAATGCTCTTTTACTTTGGTAGAGCCTTGCAAATGCCATGCAGTATTCTACTGTAGAGCTATATCTGCCCCCCAACACTCAGACCCTTTAAAATTTTATTAATTTTCAAGACAGGGTCTCACCAACTTACCAAGGCTGGCTTTAAACGCAGGCTTTGAACTTTCAAACTTCCTGAAGCAGCTTCTTTCTGGAGTAGCTGAGATCACACACCTGCACCATCAGACTCACAACAATTGCACTAAAAGTAACATTTTATAAAATTTAGGCTCAAATATATTTGAAAAGTAAACTTAAGTTAATGAAAAAAAAAACAACGGATATTAAACATCCATTCAACGAGATTTAAATTATCAAAAATGTTTCGCAGTTTCCAGATCATTATTCTCAATAACCTCTCCTCCAAAAAACTGGTATATTTGCGGCATAATAATTTTGTAATACAAAGAAATAATGTTTTGCCGTTAAGTAATAAACTCAAAAGAAAATTTAAGTACAGACTATGAGAAACGACTGGACTACACATAGCAACAAGAGATCTGCCAGCATAACTTCATTTCACAATTTTACTGGTGAGAAAGGCAGCAAGCTGTCTCCTGGACTCAGACGCTGAAACAGGATTTTTAACCGGGCTCGTGGCTCTGGGCAACCTTCCCTAATACATTAGAGACTGAAGAAACCTGAGCTGTTGATTCACCCCCTGGGTTTCCCACCAAAATAATAACAGAGCGTGCATCTTGGTTCTGAAAGCCAGTGGACTGGCATGACCCTCGCCAACCTTCACCCGAGGCCCGCAGGAGGCGACCTAGGTATGCACACTAAGTATGCGCGGGGACTGGCGCGGGCGGGAGCTGCCCCGGCGTGGGGAAGGAGTGTCCTTGCCCCGGGATGCTCCAAGGCTACCCCAGTCCTGGGCTGGGGAGGTGGGGGACCTGGAGGTGGCGGAACGCAGGCCCAGGAGCCCCTCGCAGGGAGCGGAATGGTCTGCACGCGGACTGTGACCCTCGGCCTCCGCCCTGGCGCCGCCGGACCTCCCGTGCGACTCCAGCCTGGGGCGGTGTCCCGATATGCGCGGTGCTGGCACCCACCACCGGGCGACGGCAGGTGTCACGGCCCCGCAGCCCTGGACAGTGACCCCGCCAAGACCTACCTCCGCGCCACCCTCAATTCGGCTCTGCGGCGACGCACGTCGGCTGCTCCGGGGTAGCAGCAGATCGCCTCCTCCCCGGGCACCCGGATGCCTCATGTGACTCTCCGCCCCAAAGCAGATGCTCCCGGTCTCCACCTCGGCACCCTACTAAGTTCCCAGGAGGAGGAGGGAGGGGATGGCCTGGAACGCAACTGCAGGAAGTGACGTCACACCACGGCGCTGCCCCCGGAAGAGCAGGTTACAGTGTTCAGTCCCTAGCTCTGCTGTAGAAGGAATAACTCTAATACTGTGACAGGAACTAGAAATTATTTTATGATCTTTATTACTGAAAATTAATTTCTGAGAAATAGGGTTAATTTGACCAGCAGTTGTCCAGAAGACTTCAATTCCCAGGAGGCACTGTGGGCAGCATGGACCTGGGCTCGGGCTTTGCATCATGGGACTTGTAGTTATTACTAGTTTGAGTTGTTAATGGGTTATGGATCAGTTTCCAAAAATAGCAGCTATTTAAGGGATGAAAATTGATCTGAAGAATGGGTAGATAGATCACTATATTATTATTCCATGTAACTTAGGACTTCTAGTTGGTAGATTCCTGAAATTCCTTAGTAATTTATTCCCAATAATAAACATACTAGGCAGCTTATATTTGCTCATAAGAAAACCTATAGTGTTACAGGAGTGCTATTATTTTGTGGTAAAACATCAATATTTAGATCTGTATACAGGGTCATTCATCATTAGAATTATACAATTTGATTTAAAAACCAGCTATGATTTTTAAGGCTTTGAAGCAGTACAAGAATGGGAAAAATTGATAGTGATGATTCCAAAATGCAGACTATAGGATCTGTAGACAATTACAGTTTTGGATGGAGAAATACTGCCTTTTCAGTATGAATGAAACATAAAATAGAATTATATGAAAATGGAATTAAATTATAGGTAGCGTTCAGGACGAACTTGGCCATCTTGGCCTTGAGTTATATCAGTGAATAAATGTAAGACAAAAGCAAAGCAACAAAACATGACCCTAGAAATATTTTCCTCAGTATGCACAGGGATACAGATGGTAGAAGAGACCTGTGATGAAGCAAGCCTGGCAGTCCAGTGATGATGAAGCCAAAGAAAACTAAACTTGAAAGAAGAGTGTATATGTGCCATAGTTAGAACAAAGAGATCTTGAGAATGTTGTTGAAATTATTCAAGAAGAACTTCCTCCAAAGTTACTGAATGAAGCATACAGGATATACATTATATATATTATATATATGTAATATATATATTATGTATATACTACATATTTTCTAGTATTGATACATGTCTAAATTTTATTTTCAAGAAATGGCTAAATGGATATTAGAAATCAAGAAAGGACATCTTATGGGCAGTCGAAACAAGAGTTACTACAGTATCATAGACCATACATACTGGCTAATTCCCACTTAGGGAACTTTTAGTTCACATCATGGATACCTCTACACAGTGTCCACAATCAAACTGAATTGTTTGCATGTTAACTTAGAGAATAACAGATTCTTTTTACTGACTGTTATTTTAATTTTATATAAATTATATACCCCTAGTAATGTTTTCTGAGCTCACTCGTTAGAATTTTTTGCTTTTGAGATGGGGGGGGTATCACTCTGTATCCCTGGCTGGCCCAGAACTCCCTGTGTAGACTAGGCTGGCCAAGAATGCACAGAGATCCATCTGCCTCTGCCTCCTGAGTGCTGGCAGTACATGCCCTGCTCAAGGTATAATTCTAACATGTTATGTAGATATTGACAACTTGAGCTGGTACTGTGATAGGAAAGAAGAAGAGGTGAAAACTACAACAGGAAAAGAGTGTTGAAATGGGAAGACATCTTTTCAAAGCGGCCAACTACATACCCAGGTTTCCCCTTTCTTAGGAAGTGGGGTCTGTCGTCTATAGGGATGGCCTTCTCTGGTAGCCAGGTTTCTACAACTTTAAGACATTTTCATTCCACTTCCTTATGCCATCTAGAGAATTTGACATAATTTGTGTCTGTCGCCCGAGTTCTCTTGGGGTCCCTTGCTCTTGGTGCTATTAGACAAACCATATAACACATCTTTATCTGAATTTTTCATAGTTTATAATCAAGGTGGGGAAATAGAGTAATTTACAAAGGTGAACAGCTGGCATCCTGTTCTGCTGTGGCTCAGCGGCCCACCATTCCAGATTGCTTTGGTGCCCTGCCCACAGTCTCCATTAACTTTCACCCATGCCTCGTGGGCCCACAATCTTGCCCCAGGTCCATAAATGCCCCCTTTTGCATCCATGTGGGTGAGACACCAGGGCCATTTTTTCCGCATTGCTGCTCTGTCCAAGATGTTGCCAACACTCCTCCCTCCACCGATAACTCTCCGCAGCTCCCTCTCTGTAGCTAACTCTCTGCAGCCAATTCTCTGCAGCAGGCCCTGCCCCTTGGAGGAATAAGTGCCTCTCAGGACACACTCCACCCATTCCTCTGGCTCTTACAATCTTTCCACCAATCTTCCACTAAGGTCACTGAGCCTTGGAGGGGGTGACAGATGTAGGGCCATCTCTCTTGTATCATGGTGAGATAGTGACTTCTTGGGCCTCCCAATTATTTATCTTCAAGCCGTGGCCATTGATCTATCTCAGTGGTTTTTCTTCTACTATAAAGACAAATGGAAGGAAGTAGACACATCTAAACAAACATGAATGTAAATACAAATGCCTAGAGGATATCCCAGTAGGTGTACTATATTCGTTAAACAGTATACTTGTAATGGCTTCCCCGCTAGGGCTTGTAGCCTTCCTTGAAGAGGTTGGCCTGGTCTACAGCACCAGATATATGTTCCACCCCCTAGAAGCGGGCCTTATCAAATTAGAAATTTGTCAGTTGTATGTATGTTAGTTGAGCCGTTATTGCACTTGCAGGCATTGCTTGGCATGTCCATAGTGTGCAGCACCCAGTGCCCATTGTTGAGTAGAATCATAGGGGATACTTCCTTCCCCAACCATCTGCATAGCACCTTCTGGTACTGTGAACATCATCCATCCAGTGGCATGAAGTGTTTGGTTTAGTCTCAGCTCCGTCTTTTCTTTTCCTCCTGCACTCACATTATGCAGTGTCTTCAGCAACACGGCCTTACCGACCTTTCTACTGTATAACTGTCATTAGTGGAAATAGCTTTGGTGAATTTGAGGACCTCTAGGATCTCTCTCTGACCAATATCTCATTGGGGGGCAACCCACTCTTGGTACTGTAGATTTTCTTAACAGTTGTATAGTTCAGGAGCCTCTGTTTTTATCTTACCCAACCATAAAACTCCCAAGAATCTTTCAGCTATAGCTGGCCTTTGTTTCTTTATGTATCTTCCAAATGGGTTTCACATCTGTAAAACACTTGAAAGAAGGTTAACATCATATATTAAGTCAATCATAGACAAGCTCTAACACAGCATGGAAAGGTTTTATCCATTTGTATTAACTGTTTTGTCCAAAGAGCTTTTTTAGGTACCATAGCATGGGTAAGAGGCATTAATTTGGTTAGTTCTTTACTATCTTTAGTTATCCCTTGGGAGTCATTTTGAATTCTAGGGATCCTGCATGGAGTCTCTTTGTATTCCTTTATTTTTGATATGCTTACAGATGTTGGCGCCAGTTGCCTGCACCGGGCTAAGAAGTCAGGGGTTTCCTTTGTCCCTGCTGCACCTGTTGGTTCCCTGAGTCTGGCAGGCCCTGGGTCTGCCTCCTGACTCTAGTAGCCATATCTGTCATCTCTCCATTGACCATATCTGGCTGCTGGGGGAGGCCTTGGTGGGAAAAACTGCCTCCATCCCTAGCATAGCCTTTATCAGGAGAGAAATGCACTTTATGTAATCTTTGGGGGTCCTTAACCACCCTGGAAAAGTTTTTGTCCTTTGACTACCTTTTGTAAACTGTTGTTCTGGTTTTAAAGTCCTCCAGAAACTCCTTAGTGTTAGGGTTCCAAAAAGCCACAGTTTCCCCCCTCCCCAACAGGGACCTCACCTTGACCTTTGGAGTCAAGGGAAACAAACTCTGCTGAGAAGCAGCCTGCCTTTCCTTTGACCTCCAAAGATAAGCAGATTCTACCTGATAACCAGAGATTTTAGAAGCTGTTTTTCTCTCATCTTAAGAGGGAAAAAGTAAACACTTCCACACCCTAATCCTACCTGCTTCCCCCTCCATGATTTCTCCCCAAAACATTCCCCCTTCCATACCCTAAATCCCCCATATGTAAAGTCCCAGCTCACAACCTGTGGGCAGACATCTTTCCTGGACATCTTTCCCTGACATCTTTCCCTTCCCTGACATCTTTCCCTTCCCTTCCCTTCCCTTCCCTGACATCTTTCCCTTCTCCGAGGGAAAGGTGCCCCGTGCAAAATAAATCTGTATCCCGTTGAGAATTCCATCTGAGCCTCGGTGCCTTCCTCTATCCACCCGCTTGCTCCCGCCCATTCTCTACCTATCAGATGGTGCCAAAACCTGGCTCTTACTTCAAGCGGACATCTTTCCCTTCCCTGAGGGAAAGGTGCCCCATGCGAAATAAATCTGTATCCCGCTGAGAATTCCATCGGTGCCTGCCTCCATCCACTCGTACTCTTCACCACCCACTCTCTCTCTCCTCAAAACCTATCACTTAGTACCAAATTTGGTTTTCTATCAACTTTTAATTTGGGAATTTGGGCTCAACATAAGTCTTGCCACATTTGTCTTCGAGCAACCCAAATGGGCCACTTTTTCTTTCTGGTCTTTTTTATATCTCTTGTATGGTGTTCTGTTATTCTACAGACACATTTTACATGTTGGTTAGAGTCACTTAGATCCCCTAAAGCCTCTCTCACTTTACAAAGATCCTGTCCTATTAAAGGGCTTAGCAAAACCATTAAAGCTCCATACCATTTTTGAGGTCCCAGTTGAATTACACCTTCCTTTATGTATCTGGTGAACAAAGTCTTATTTGGCCCAGTGAACTGGACATCATATATTGCTTTTCTCATACCCAGTTCTCTCGGTAATGCCTGTCCCTCCTTTATAGTCCTCCAGCCTCTGTTAATTATGGAAGTTTCCTTTGGTGATGACCATGTATCTTTAATGCCTTCAACCAGCCACACCATTAAGGACTGCTCCCTGCTGCACTGAACTAGGTTGAACAGCCTAT